TGTTTACTTGTTTCTGTTAATTTTAGTTCAACCATTGAGTAATGTGTAATTTCAAAATGAATTCATATGCAAAGGAAGCAGTTTTTCCATGGGAGGTCCTTTTTTAAACCCTACAATCCGGAATACGAAATTGAAATTGTTTCTTAGTAGTTCAGTCTCTACGGAAGCAATATTATCGAATGTTTTTAGCGTTTTGGAGCCGAGTAAGCATAAGAAGAATGATCATTCACAAAAAAGTATTCTCACAAAAAATTGGCCCTCCTCAAATACTTCGAAGGGTGGTTGGCACGCCCCGTACCCCCGATATGCCCAACTAAGAGACGATTTTTTCTGGTTTGAACCTAATCATATGAAAGTCCAAGCACAGCCCAACATCGGCCGCGACCTGGTGAATATTACGGATGATGTCCCAACAAGAAGCCATTGTTGGGCTTCAAGAGCAGGATGGCCCAACTGGCTTCCGCACACTAACGGCTAACATGGACCGAAGGCGAGAGGTAAAACTTTGTCCTCAGCGACGAGCAGGGATTTCTATCTTCCTAAAAATGATGTTGTGGACCCTGTGAAGTGTTCAGTCAAATGGAAACCTCATTTAGAGTATAAGATTCCAACATTCAGAAATAGTGGAAGTATTGTCATGGATGGAGATGTGTCCGACCATTCGGCGATTCCCCAGTTCTATGTATCCAGCGAAATGTGGGTTGGGCTAAGTACAAGAATAGTCTGTAGAATACAATGCTTCCTTCGATAGTCAGAACTAGCCGGAAAAGATGGGTTTTCTATCGTGGAAATGACCCAATGCAGGCCTACCTCCTCACTGCCGCCTTCCTAAACCCAGAAAAAGAAGCTGTTATGAAGCGACCAAGTCAAGATCTAAAGTCCAATTGAGTTCTACATCCCACGGAAGAACTGGCATGTCGCTCGGCCAACAGGAACTTGTCTCAACCGTGAAAACGAGACTTACGAATGCCTTATTACCTCAACTACACACCTACCTCAGGGTATCCAGCCACCCATTCTGGCAAATACTTCATGAAAGAGTTGACGAAGGAAGAAGAAAATTTTCGCCCACCGCGAAGGCGAATTTCAACAATGCCGGGACGACGACCCGGCGAATCTTCGGCTTCCTGAAATTTGGCGAGACTGTCGTAATTATTAAGGGTTGCGTAAATCACATAACAAAGTTACGTATGAGGTATTTAGTAAGTCTGGACTGCAACCACCTACACGTGTTTTTGGCGCAAGGGTGGGTGAAAGTCGGCCGCAACATTCCGACTCAGGTAAATATCGTCTAAGTCGGAATGTTGCGGCCGTCTCACGTAAACTGGCTCACGTGCGTTCATGGTGGCCGGTTCGTAAGCGCGAGTTTGGCGGGAAATTCTATGAAAATTCGCCGTGAGCTGAGTGATGACTACACCACAATGGTGATAATTTGTTTTTTACAAGTGTGTGTGTTGGATTATCATTGCTATCTCAGACTTTGTGCTGTTTGATCATGATTTTTCCAGAAGTAAGCAAAATCCTGGTGCAGATTGGATTTTTCACAACACAGTAATTCTCATAACTAATTATTAAAATGTGGCGCAATCGAGCCGCGGGCTCACTGCGCTTATTGGCAGTATTGATCTCACCAGTCGCGACTCAAGTTCATGAGCGCGAATCGCGCTCAGGAGTCGCCGACTATGAAGGCGACGTTACTCACCATATTGCAACCCTTGGCATCGATCATACAAATCGGGATTTTGTTTGCTACTTCTTCGCGACAGGCGATGAGCAGCCTCCGTAGTGGCCATGGTTTGTCATCCACATTGGAACACCTTCAAAAACATGCGGTTCAACATAGCGATCGTTAGGAATTCGTTCCCAGAACACAGCATCGCACACACTTGTCATTAGGTTTGTAGGGTCGCGTCAGCTTTCAAACACTGTTGAAGTCCTTCTTTTCACTTCCAGAAAAATCCCATGGAATCTTATAAGAGCAGCACCTCTTGAACTTGCAGAGTGGGGAGTACTCTCCTTTATCGGCAATAGTTCAATATCACGGAACCCAATTTAGCGAACGATTAAAAGATTGAGGTGAGAACTCTCGCAAGATGACAACTTGCGACTTCTTCAACGTTACGTAAAATCAGCGATAACATTTGCTTCTCCAATAGCCTAATATCACTGCTGAAATTCCTCCATCTTATCTGGTGTAACTTATTCGCGAGTCTCTCTAGCCAGGGGGAAGAAACTCGGCCGCTGATAGATTGCGAGGTGAAAGCTAAGACCTAGTAGACGTTACCGAACACATGTGATAAGTTCCAAACGCTTTCATTCCCCCGCTTTTATACATTTAAAGAGCTCGATTTCTGCTAATAGGTGCCACTACACCTCCTATAAGGTCCCATTTAATGGCGGTCTCATTTAACACGTAACAACGATGTGTGTCACATGGTGGTGCATGATTATTTCTTTTATTTTGGAATGTTTCTAGCAATCTTAATATACCCGTATATACTCTCAGCAATGTGGAATAACATATCTTCCCAGGACCTGGACGGCTGGATTTTTGACAAACCTACAATAAATTTTACATACATTTTGTCTTAATTTTCCATTGATGAATGGCTTACCCATGGTTCACACGTCCCGAGACCCGTTCCCTAAAAATGCCCAACTTCCTCACTCATCAGAGTTGTTGTTTCGCAGTGTTCAGTCACCTAGAGCATCGTTCATCGTTTGCGTCCTAGATTCAGAGCTGAAGGCGGGTTATATAATGTCGTCAGCAAAAATATTACTTCGAGAGATCGTACGCGGAAGCTATTATACTAGATAGAAGATCGTACGATACTTTACCTCCGCTTTATCCCCGCTGCTTGCGTAAGCCTACACAATTACTACCCTAAGTGATGTCGTATGCAACATGGTGGGCGCGCAAAAAAACCTCTCATCCATTACGTGCTAACAAATCGTGACATCCACCTTTGACTCGTGATAGGTCTTAAACACTCTCGACTAGGTGAGCGGAATGTTGCGAATGTGCTAAACAGAAGCAGAGTCGTTACAGTTGATTCAGATGGAGACAGGCTAGATGTGGGAAAGTTTCTAGAAGAGAGACTAAGTGGACAGCAGCCTAACACAAAGTGAAAATCCGCTGCAAAGCCCACTTGTCCAAAATTAGGCCGTACAAAGATTGGCCAGCCAAAACTTATTTGAATGTTACGAATTAATCATTATGACTGGTATTGATGCCGAACAAGTGCGCAAAACACTACAATTTCAGTGGATCCCTGACAGCTGCTACTCAAGAAGTATGAGATGAATTTTTGTTTGTCAAATGACGAATTCAGATGAAAAACTCACCACTCATTGAGATCGTTCCAATGTACTATAATTGTAAAAAGAGAAAACGTGCGTAATACCTTGTAAAGACGTAGACATGAGCTAATGCGATAAAGACGGTGCCTGTGACAATAGCATCAAATGCAGCGTTGTGGTAGTTTCCTTCCACTATAAAATGTAATCTATAGAAAAACAGTTGACTCATCACTCTTGTAGCAAATGTCCTGCCGAGTTTCTTTTGCGTGTTCCGAATCACACCTGTAGCCTATTGCATTATTTATCGTCCGATAGAATATCGAACTCTCGCATTGGTCCAGGGCGCTGATCCTCTTTCATACCTTTGTTACAGCGCCCTGCACACCTATAGAGCAGCACCAATTACGAGTTGTGAGCTTCTTTGGAGGTGGAAGGTACAAAAAATCATTCCCATTAGAGATGAAAGTAGAGGAGACAGAATATGCACTGGGCGTAATAACTTCGTACAGAAAAATCCGAGAGGATAAACGACTCAAAACCTGAGTGATGAGTCCCATTCTTCTCCGATGATTTCCACCACTTTAGACAATCCAGTGATCAACGTGAGCTCATATGGTATTCCCCAAGTCGGTGTCATGTAAGCAAAAGTCACTCTTCCCTCCATTATGCACCTAGGAATCTAAAAAAAAATGCGGCCACTTGACATGGACGGTTCTTCCAAAACGAAGAGCAATTCTACTGGTGGAAGCCTGGCCTGGCTACGGCAAGTTATGCTAAGAAGCGATAGAATCCATGCTTACCATACGTCTAATCACATATTCTTCGATGAGAAGTCGTTCTTCTTTTACAGTATGCATACATTCCCTTCCCCAGTATCCAATCTACCGTGACACCCTCCTTTGAACAATTAATAAACATGCGACTGCATTCCAATCTGATTCTCAACCTAGGTGGCAGCACATAACGGTTTTCAAACTACATTTGCAAACTACGAAAAATGTTTCGTTGACATATAAATCACAAACAGCGCAATGATGAAACCTCACAAATGCTTCAGCTGCCGAGCATTACATAAGTTCATGTGCTTTCGAGGCTATAGTTGAATAGGGTGACAAAAGACTCGCCTCGGCTAGTATATTTTATCGAAATCCTGGAATTCCATAGTCTGGAGAAGAAAAAGGTCGCCCACGACTGATCTTGGGAGCCACGCTGTGGTTGAGACTCACAATGGCTAATTTACATTGTGGCCAATTCATTGCACCGTGTGCCAAAGTATGCCTATGTTAAGTTTAATGCTTGGTTTCTGTAGCGCTTTAGATTGAGACAGATATTGCAGATTGTTTTCATTTTCCTCGCAGCGAGGATGCATCAGATTTCACCGCGGGGATTTAGGCCTGCCGCCCACAGAGACTTGGCTTTCTGCGTCGGAGCGGTTCGATGGCCTTCTGAGCATCGGTGCATTTCTACTGCTTCCGAGCGTCTCGGCATATTCTACGACTTCGGAGTTTCGACTTCAATCGCCTGACAGTCGTCTAGAGCAGATTCATCACCGCATCGCTGTTTCCTTCAAAAAGCATCTGAGCTGGTTACTGTTGAGGTACCTAGCATTCACTGGATATAAATCTCGAGTATTCTAACCGCTCCGATCGCGTTAATGTCGAGTTAAAAAAATAAAGCAGAAAAAAATGCCAAACGGCTCAGGACTTTCCTACCATCCTAATATTAGGTTGCCCCATTCTGAATACTATCTATAATGCGCCCCGTCTGTAGTTCTGTCACGGTGTCTGTTACAAAATCCATAAATTTCTCGAGGTCTGCTTGACTGGGTTGAGGGTGGGGCGAGGGGCTATGCCTCTAGAAGTACACAACATGATCATCTAAGTGGAGCCCCACCCACAGTGGGCTTGGTGTGCATCGAAATTAGCGGTACTAACGAGGGATTTAGAATTCGATTGTAAAACAGCTTAGCGATGGGGAAATGGGAAGTGTTGAAAGGGAGGCTCAATGGGAAAATTCATAGCTTTCTCAAAAGGACGCTCACAGAGCAGAAAAATTAACGTAAGGAAGCAATGTCTAAGGTGCTCTCAGCATATATTACATGAGCCGAGGCTCGGCCACAAAGGGCAAATTGTGTCCTGAAGTAACCATTTCTCACAGGTCCTCATAATTCTGTTGCTAGAAGCTTTAGAGACCGGGAAGAATGGAATCGATGCAAGATGAAGTCAACTGCTACAGATGGGCGGGCATGCGCCAAGGTGGGCGGAGCCTGCCATGAAACATCATAATTCGGTTGACATCCAGAACCCGGAAAAAATGTGGACAATGGTCGACCGGAAAAAAGCGGACGATGGTTGACGAAGAAGGGAAGGTCGAAAGCCTTTGATGGGTGGGGCATGCAACGAGGTGGGTGGAGCTGAATTCTAAAGACACATTACGATCCAAAGGTACACGGAGAGCGAAAAGAAAGCAGACATACACTGCGTTGCAAAAATATAAATCCACCTGGAAAGTTCTTGAAAATTCGCATGATAGGGTGTTTCTGAAAAAGCCTTTGAAAGAAAAATGTGCTCAATATAAATATAATTTCGAGTGTAAACACCAACTTCCATTTCGAAAACACGAAAATTTTTTATTTTCATTTTTCAGAAAAGGGCCACTTTGCCGATTGTGCAAAAATATAAATCCACCCCATGTTTCTCGGTTGAACTTCATTGTTATTTGGCGTAACTGTCAGGTTGTTTCCACTTCCTCTTTCTTAGGTGATGACGGAAGTAACACCGCTGTCGGACTCCGAAAAAAAAGGCGAAATCTGCAAAAGAGTGGGGAGATTTGCCATGCAGACAAACCGCGCGTGATTTGAGCCCCGCTTAATGTGTGGGGACCCCGGAAACACTACCCTTTTTCCTCGTCGTTTCGGTGCGAGACGAGTGTTGTGGAAAAGCAGCCGATTCTCCCAAGGGTGCTCAGGGAACTCAACCTTCAAAAAAACCTAATATCTTGAAAGTCACCGTTTGGCGTGTGTTAGAAGAACTCTGAGACCACTCTTCGACGGAAAATGAGTATGGCACAGTTGAAGACACAAAGCCATCCCAAAAATCAAGCCAACTCTTCCATAATGTGTGCATGCTGCGCCAGCTGCATTAAGTTCGGCTTTCTACACGCTACTTCGCTGTTTTTTCCTGCACTGTGTTTGGCAGAGACAGGAACTCATATTGAAAAAGGAAACCAGTAAAAAAAAGAGAAGACAGCCATCAAAAGGTACTGCGCGGCCAATATGGCCTCGCTCCGGCCAGATCGACCACTTGATCTTGGGAATTGGCATGATTTTGGACAGATTATTAACACGTTGACGACAACGCGAGTTTTGGCTTTTTGGCCGCGTGGGACCGGCGCGATTTTGCGAGCGCCGCCGCCTCAGGTCCTTCAGGCGAATTTTGCGTGTAAATGCATAAAACATGATTGATACAAAGTTAGATTAGTATTTTTCAGTGCGTAGAAGCGCCCCAGAGATACAGTAGTGAAATTTTGATCGAAATATGGATGAAAAATAGTGAAAAAGCAAATTTGTCAGAATCAGCTGCAATGAACGTCAAAAGCAATTTTGCATCGATTATTGCAATCAAAACACATATCTTGTCATCCTTGAGGTTCCGTATTACTTCTACTACTATTTAAATATTCACATTCATGAAAAGAAAAATGTAAACGAAAAATTCAACTAGACTGACGATTTCGTTGGTTCAGAAAACCTCCCCTAAATTTGAAGCATACGTGACCATTCTAAGAGCCACTATGTTTGTATCTACGCTAAGGTTTTCTCCTATGGAATGAATACAAGAAACCTAAAAGAATCACGTGTGCGCGAAAAAAATGAGTGTAATGGGTGCAGGACACATACGTCCCGCGTTGTCCGTCATGGCCTGCAAAGTGCGGGACGTACAGTAGTGGCCAGAAATTTATGAACAAACGGTTTTTTCATGATTTCTCTTTTGAAAGTCACTGGAACGTCTCCAAATTTGCAACAATTATTAACTACGTGTTTTATGATCCACACAGAAAATTTCAACCTTCAGCTCAAATTTGGGTTTAGAAAATTTTAGATTTTTCGAAATTAATGAAGGCAGGTGAAAGATCACTTGATCCGTTTATTTGATTTAAATAATGTATAACCCAACAGAACAGTCAAGTAAACAGTCACTAACATTAAGCAAGTCTAGCACATTGCCCAGAACTCTCTAAAGTATTGGATACATAAACTGGATTTGAATGCGGGGTCAACTAATGAACTCACTCTCTAGTGGGGTCTCTCTCTGTAGTCCCGTCTTTTCGTGGCTCTTTCATTGACATACGAATTTGTAGGTCCTCCCTAGTGGTTCTGTAATGTTTGGCTCAAGAGTCTGGCCTGGCTGGTCTTTTAAAAGCACCCCATGCTGTCGAAACCACTCCTGCATGTGAGAGGCCCGATGCTTTGAGTCGCTGCTCTGCTGACAGACAAAGCCAGGTCGTGTGGCAGCCATGTCTACGGATACATAACATCTTCTAGAATCTAAGTCTATACTACGTATTCCTTAGTTCTCAAAGTCTAAGAAGAGCGCTCGCTGTGAAGTGAGGGGGAGTAGAATG